GCTCGATGAACTCTCTCTGTCTACTATTCGTGTCCCGGAGACGCACCCGTTACTGTATAGCTCCACTAACCTTAGGCTTTAAGTACGTTTTGATACCTGCCACATTAAAAGGGGAAACTAAAAGTCTTTCTCTGACTATCACGAATGCAAAAAGAAGATGCATGGATTCAGAGACAATCTCGACACAAATCACCTGAAGCTTTTGGTTTGCATACTCAGATTTTTAAACATTACTCTGATGTTTTATCAAAGTTTGAGTCTCACTTGTATTCATTTTATTGGTCAGACAGACAGCAACCAAAATTGGCACACGAAAGAGCATGGTTAATGGTTGTGAGAACTAAACTAAACCAAAACTCTTTGGTTCTACACTGCAGCGTTCCTGGATTTCATCATCTTAATCTCCACTTCCCGTTTTGTTCGAGCCATCGTTTCTAGGGATTAAACAAACTAGGTTTTGCGTGACACGCCTTTTTTAGTTTTTACTCTAGTGTATACTGCTGCAACACAAGTAAACTCTGACAGGAAGTTGCGACAGTGGAAACGCATTGGTGGTATTTTTACTACTTATTGCATGTTGCCTGGATTTCGAACATTTTCCATTCACTCTAAGTGAATGAATGACAGCGTTAATAGTACTTCATTCACTTCCTATTGTTCTAATGGGCTTCTGCTTGCATTGATTTTTGCGGGATATAAACACCCTCCGATTGGTGGTTAAAGAATAGCAGAGCACTAGAGTCACATGCTATACAGCAGTCCGCTTGCCTGTGATTAAATTGTTTACATTTCCACTAACAATAAATAAGTCAGTTAAAAGGTACATAAGTAGAACTAGTTTGGAGCGGTTGCGGGATAAGGATATTTTGCTTAGAAACAGTATTTCTGAAATGCCACACGTACGAATGTCTATTGTCTTTTTCTTCTCAAATAAACACATTGCTGTCACAAATGTAAACGCAAAATCGGACAATGTGACTGATACAACAAATGACTTTGAACTGGCGGATCTTGTGTGTAAAAAAATAGCATGACATTGTGTGTGTGTGTGTGTGTGATCAAGTGTTTATTGGCAAAAGATTGAGAGATCAAGAACGCGTAATCCCGTGAATCGATAAAACTGCAACAGCATTATCACTATGTTATTGTCATTTATTTTGTTCTTGAGAAATTGTGAACTACCGAATTTCGAGAGCTGTATCAAATCAAAAGAGAACACAACGCATTGATTATTTTTCTGAATTATCACCAAGTTCGTATTCCTCTAATTTATTTCCATATTTTCTAAGCATGTGCTGATAAATAGGTTCAAAGTTCTACTTTTATCGAGTGCTCAGAAATACATGTGTTGTTGTTGTTCTTTGTCGAATACTTGCCGAGCTTCAGGGAGTAAGTTGAATAGAACAAACTATTTTTAAATGGATTTATTCTAATTCTAGGAGGCGGATATTTTCCTCCATATGCTCTGAATTCAGAAATATGGCAATTAAACTGGCTTTTTAAGTTTTTTCTTCATCAAAGTTCATACATGAATTGTCTAGATGAAATTTCCAACTCCGGACCTTGATATTCTAGCTTTTCTCCACCAGATGGCCAGTATCTTTTGTGATTTTTTTAATGAAATTTTCTCAAAGCGCTTCATTCCGGTTTCTGTCGAATATTCCGTTCATCTCATTACGTGTGCCGTCCCTGCGTTCCTAAAGTCAACCGGATCCGATGCTTTGTAAGCTATTCAATGAACACAAATGAGGATGTCACTCTATCCACAATAGATGCAAATCAATGGACTCGCCTCTTCTAAGTTTACTGAACTCTCGAATTTGTTTTCTTGATTCCGAAAATAACTATTCGTATTTTTCTTTGTTTGCTCAGTATGAACACAGAAAGGCCTACTACACCAATTGGGCGCAAACCAAGTAGACCATCTGAATTATCTTCTAATGGATCCACGGTCAAGGTTGAAAATGAAGTCAGTCTGTTTACGGGATCTCTGATGCATGACAATTGGGTGTACAACTCCGTCTTCGGGAATGTGCGAGCTCAAGATGTCGCGAGCCAAGCATCCACTGAGCAGAACGAACTTCCATCAGATGAAAAAGATCGGCCAGAAGGTCGAATTCCTGCCTACTGGTGGTGCACTAAAACAGGCGCATCTAAAGTGGCCCATATAGCTCCGGTTGTTCCACAACCATCGGAAGTCAGCTGCGACACACCGATGCATTGGCGCAATACTCCCCGATGGAACATTCCTCAAATTGAAGTGCGTATAACGGGACACTGGACCGTGCGGCGTCCCCGAAGTGGTTCCTCTCAGTCTCTCGGGACAGACGATGGCAGCCAGTTGACTTCAGACTCGGTGATTTCCAAGTCGGCTTCTTCAGATTGTCAACGAAGTAACAAAATGCATTCGATGCCACGGCTCCGGCTCGTTACTGATCGTGAGTCGAACTTGTCCGTTTTAATGGGGTTTAAAGTAGATATATTAAAATGACACAACACCTCCTCTTTGGGGTGGTTATTGGCTGGTACAAAAATGATGATTTATAAAAAATATTTTGGTATTCATGATCATCCTTTATTCCTATTTCCGTTGACAGAGGTCGTGTTAGCTCCGTTTCACATCACATCTTACTTATAATTTATCGAAATATTTAAAAAGGTACGTTACTGTGTTGTAACAGATATCAGAGTTTCTATGAGGCATCTGACAGGAGTCGTATCTCCGCTCTGGCAGATTGTTGTATCCTCGGAGCATACTCCATCGATTTGTTCTTCATCATTTACCCAACTAATGTCTGTGGCTCTCAAGCGTTTTGGCATACATCAGCGGCCACTCTGCGGCACACTTCTTGACGGGTA